GGCACTAAGGGACGAACTCGATCTAGTCGAGGAAATCCGATCTGGTGAAGCCCTGCGCGAAGCCACCCTAAAACAACGAGTGGCTCTACGCCACAACGACAAGATCATCAAGCGCGAGTTCGAAATCGGCAACCTGGTATTACGTAGGAACCAGAAGGATTCCCGCGAAGGGAAGCTGGCCGCGAACTGGGAAGGACCTTATCGCGTCCACGGCACCACTGGTACCGGGGCGTACTATCTCGAGTAATTAGACGGAGAGCCATTACCACGACCCTGAAACGCTGCTAAGCTAAAGCAGTACTACAGTTAAAAACTACCAACACCTAGGACCCTCGACCAACGGCACCCGCGCTCGGTCAACGAGGAAAAACGTCCGACTCCGTATAAAGGCTGAGGTACAAGCCCGACATACGGCTAAATCGCACAGCATCGCTCGACAAGTGAGACCAATCGATAGTGCCCGACGTGGACAACTACACCGAGCTTCACCGTCGTAGTACCTGTAAGGCAGAACACCCAGCTCGCGATGGGCAGTTCACACCAAGGACAAACAGTCCCTACCGGGCTTCGCGCCCGACTGAGCAACTCCGCTCCATCTGCCCGACAAGTCGTCAAGAATGACGGGCCATCTAAAAAAGGGTCAAAAGGAAGTCTCTCCCCTCGAGTGCAACGCTTAGGCGATTCTGGCCATCGAGAGAAGGCCGAGCACATATGCAAACGAAAGGCGGGCAAACGCGCCAGCTAAGTCACAGCCACTTACGGGCACTCCTCGGGCCCGTAACTTAGGCTAAATTTTATGCAAAAATATAAGATTTCAAGCACGGGCAAACGATCAAATGTAAAACAGCATTCATTCAAAAAAATGCCCGAAGGCAACAAAGCAAATAATTATAAACCGACCAAGAAGGTCGGCGATGTTCATAAAGTACAACCAACGGGCACGCAGGCCCAAAAAATACAAATATCAAAGGCACGCAGGCCCGCTATCCTACAATCAGGCTTCCCCGGAACCATCGTTGTCGACAACTGGAGAGTCGGGCGGGGGCACGATCGCGCCATCCACGATCTGATGCGTGTAGCCCGTCCCCTCAGTGACCAAACCAGGGTTTAACAAGGAAAGATGGCCGACTGCGGAGTCGAACCCCTCCTCCAGAGCACCGACGCAGTCTGCTTCGAGTAGCCGGATATGGGCGACCAGCTTCGATCGACTCTTCAAAGCCGTTATATCCTCCGGCTCGTCCTCGGCAGGAAGCATGGCGACTTTCATGTCCTCGATCTGTTGGGTCAGGCGCCCGATGTCGGTCTCCAGACGATCCCTGTCCGCGCGGAGAAGCTCTCCCTCCTCGGCTAGCTTCCCCGAATTTTCTTTCTCCAGGACAAGCATCTCTCTCTCAGCGGCCAGCAGCGATGCCTGCTCGCGGAACATCTCCTCGGAGCGTTCCAGGGCAGTCCTTAACTTCTGCGAGCTCGAGGTGAGAGCCGCTTTCTCCTGCTCAAGTTCTTCAATACGGACAGGATCCTCCCCTTCCTCGGACAGCACCAGGGCCATTTCGGCCATTTTCACCAGCCCGGCCATGCTGGCGGCCAGGTGCCTCTTCCGATCCTCCTTACTCATCCTCTTGATAGTCTCAGCCTCGTCGGCAACCACTGACAGAGGGAATCTCTCGAAGAAACCCTCCTCTTTGAAGCAAGGGGGGAACCCGAAGGACCTGACGGCGCTGGTGTCCTCGCCGACCGCCGGCCCGCTTTCCACCCGGTTCCTCTTTCTTTGTATCAGGTCGGCATGTGGCTCGACCTCTTGAACCTCTGGGATCTCGTCTGACGCGGCCCCCGAGCTGGGCGACGAATCCACCCTCACCACCTGAGGAGCGCCCGGACTATGCGGCGGGCCCATCCTCGTTGCCTGGGGAGCCTTCACGACCCTCCTACCCCGCTTCTGGTCGCAAGACAGCTTCAAGAGTCTTTCCCGTCGCCCGGCCATCGAACCTGCACAAAATAAAAGACGGGTTAGTGTCGAGCAAGTTCATAAACAAATGACGAGCAAAGAAATTCAAGCAATAAACGACCTAGCAGACGAGCAGCCTGTCTGAACGACTGGCACTCCACGAGCGCCTTAGTATCGATTGGTCGGGACTCGAATGTCGGATAACCCTCCTCGTCCAAGACATCTTCCCCCTCCCTCGTGGCCCACCGGGCGGGGTGGAAGCTGTCGACGAATCGACAAAGAGTGGCGTACGCCTTCTCGTCCTCCGAACACATGTCGCCCGCAGCGGTATGATAGTATCCAGTCACGTGCTCATAATGCATGAACATCCAATGCACGGGGAACTTGGCCGTGCGGGCCATCACGGGATACCCATCGTTGTCTAAAACCGCCTCCCCGTCATCGTCGCGTATGGGCGCCTCCTCCTCGTACAGGGATTCTAAAGCATACGTGGTAACTGGCCTCACGACATACCACTTGTCTTTAAAACCCCTTACGGAGTCCATATACATCTTGAATAGTCTCCTCGACTGTTTTAAGGAGACCCAGCTGTGCTTCCCTCCTCGGGACTGGCGCTGCAGATGGAAAATTCTGAAGAAGAGAGGTATAGTCGCCCCGATCCTCAGAAAACGACATGTCAGCTCAAACGCCCGGATAAAGGCGAGCGAGTTCGGGTGTAGCTGCGACGGGGCCAGCCCCAGATGGGCGAAGACCCCGGTCTGAAAGTCACTAAAGGGCAGCTGCAGCCCAAGATCTTTGAACGTGATTTCGTACATGGGGAAGCTATACTCGGGGTACACCGAGCAGATCCGGGCGTTGGAGGTCGGCCGCGTAACAACGAAATTCTTTTGAAAATCAGGCTGACCGTGGCCCGCCTCGAGGACAGCATATGGTTTTCGGTTACGCCGGCTATAGATCGACGCGATTCCTCTGGTCTCGTCGCCCACCCAATCCAACAAAGGGTCGTCGAGAGTGTCGATCAAACTCACCGCCTCATCGGCACTTTGTTCCTCCCGTTCGGGGCGTCCAGAGGAGCACGGCTCGTTCGCCATGGTTACCTGCAGAGCACGGGAAACCAGTCAATTGGGCACGAAACCATACGCTCGACGTAACGGACCAGAGACAGTGTACGACAAACCACATCGCTCCATGCACGACCACAAGGGTTAGTTTGCAACAAAATAGCAGTCGCCTCCCCGACGTCCGGATAACTCGATGAGACTTTCTCCAAACCGCCTAAGCAAACCGACAACGCGGTCATTCACGAGTATGCCGATCCAAGGTATGAACATGGCGAGCAACATCATAAAATCTACGGCCAGAGCCATGAACATACCGGGCACGATCATGAATCAGGCGCCCTGGATCATGAAGACCCCGGACAGCACTTCAGATTGTAACCTAAACTATGTATCTACCGGCCACGAGCATATGTTTGCCGGTCCTAAGCATGAATTTGTCGAGCTAAACATGAATATACCGGGCTAGTCCCACGCGCACAGTCCCTAAAACGTCTACAACGGTGAAAATCATGCATCACAACAGGAAAACGAAGAAGATAAGTCACTTGCAATCAAGGAGTGAGTTCTGCAACGGAGGAAAGGAATCTGTGTCGGGAATCGCAGCTATGCTATGAAAATCTGGAAGAACAGCAGCAGTAGGAGCGCAAAGAGTAGTAACGCGTTATGGGGCCCAAGGATCCTATTTATAGTGATGACGTGGAATACCAAACGTCGCCTCGGGCAACCACGGAGTTTCTCTCCTCGACGCACGGCTCCCAAGGCAATGATGACCCTATCATCATAGGGTGGCGGCGCAGTTCCCGAAAGATACCCCGTGTGCTCGACAGACGCGCGCCGGTGAGGATTCCCCGAGCATCCACCACGAAAGATTTGTCTCCGAGCACGACACGGAGAAGCCCTCGAGGACCTGCATCTCTGACCCGGGCGCGAGACCCCGAAACGGGAACGACCTGAGATCAAGCCATGGCTCCTAACCCAAGGAACCACGACTTGGGGGGCTCCTGTTCTGGACTGGGCCCGACAGGCCCAATAGCATTGATAAGGCCCAATCCAAATGGACTTGCTGAGGACCACGCCGACCAAAGGGACACAGTCGTGCCCGACGTGCTCCCTGAGGTTACTTGCTCGACCTCCAACTGTCCAGTTCGACATCCTGCCGTCCAGCTCGACATCACCGCGAGTACCCCAACTAGGGCAGACTCATTCCACTGCACTCCCAACGAGACCCCGAAAAGACCGCGTCTCTGTCCGCCTGCACTTCACGCCGAACATCCAGGGAGGGGACCACGTGCGGGTTCCCACTACGCACGTAGAACCTGGCAGTTCCTCCATTGGGCCAAACCTGCCCGGCCCAATGAAGGAACCTTGGCCCAGCGCTGGGGGCTATAAATACCCTTTGTTTCCAGAGGGTCAGGTATTCATCATTCTACCCATACTTACTATTGTCTGCTCGTGCTCTTACTTACTTCAGCATCGGAGTGTCTTGCAGGTACCCCCACCTCGCTCAAAACTTTCAGCTCGGAGCCAGCCGTGACAGTCCAAGTCTGATCAGGTTAGATCAGATACTATCAAATTCACATAAGCAGTTATTTCTAATGTTAGAAAATGCTATTGGAATATTTTATGGTATGGCACGGAACAAAATCAATTATTTAATCCATAAATATTATTCTTAATTTAAATATAATTGAACCGTATAAAATATCAAAAGAATACTTACGACTACTATAAAGCAAGCTTATGTCCACCCCCGTATTGTGCTGTGAGAGAAAAAGGGAAGGGGAGAAAACCATTGGAAAGTTTACTATGGAAGCCCAGATTGGACAGTCAAGGAGCAAAAGCAAAATGGCATTTTGAGAAATAAGATTAACATATATTTTATAATCACAATTACAGGTATGCTGCTGAACAAGTTAACTTAAGTATGGACTTTCCAAGAAAACAACAGTATTTCTATTGTGAATCAGAAGCATTAGTAATCGGAATGCTTCAACTTATTCATCTTTTTTGCTAGATTTGGCATCACTCTCTTCTTTTGATGAATTAGCAGCCTTGGACTCATCAAATTCCAACAACTGCATTAATATTATAAAATGTAAAAAGTTGTTAGAACTTAGCCAAACCACACCTAGCAAAAGCATAGTTATACAATATGTTTCCAATAACTTCCAAAATATTTATTCCTATAATACTTTTGAAAGCATTATATAATATTTGGTCACATCTATTTATCTTCTGTTGCCTTAAGTACATTTGAAAGCAGATGCATATCTTCCTTAGCTAATTTCAAAACCTTCATTAGCTAATTTTAAAAGAGATACATATTATATACCTGGCAAAATAATATATAATACATAACAGGAAACAATATATTAATATCATATTCCAGCAAAACTAATGCTTGAAATCAAACCAGACGCAGAAAAAAGATATGATAATGTGGAAATGGAAAAATTAAGTATCGAACAAACCTGTTTGACTTCACCATTCCAAATACAATGGGCAGCCAAAAATCCAATTACAGCAGGTACAATATACAAAAGTGCGGGCTGACAACAGGGACAACAATAAAAAGGGAAACCGTTAGTTGAGAAAGTTGATCTCCAAATGTTATTAGCAGTGAGATTGGCATTAGTGACCACAACCCTCACGCCATATCCCCAAATGAAAAAATAAAATAAAATGAAACCACTTATCAGTCACCTGAGCAGCCTGAAACCAGTTCATCACAACAATTGTAAGGACCACGCCAAAAGTGTATCCTAAAAATGCACTCTTGAAGTACTGGGGTGGTTTTCCTCTAGACACATCAAACCGCAAAGCCAATGCCACGAAAATACCTGATTGAAAAAAATAAGGTCAATAAGTATTTAAGTACCAACCACGTGATTGAAGGAGCCATATTTAATGCGCATGTAGGTGCGCATGTAAATAGATATAAAAAAACTTATGACCTACTCTACCTATAAGATAAGCTCTGTTGAGCTTATGTCAAAAAGCTTCTTGGAGAAGTTTATGAAAATTAGCTCATGCAAGATAGCTAATTGACATAAGCTGATGAGCCCTTATTCCAACTAAAGCTCAAATAACCTATTTACCTAAACATGCACATCTAATGTTAGACCATCCTTGTACATCAACTCTATAGACAGGATCAACTCTATGCTATAGCCTAAAATATGTGCGGTTGTGATTAAGTGTGTGTGCGCGCGCACATGTGAAAATCAATCTGCATCAATTATTTGCATGCATAATCATTTCAATTTTTTTGAAAAACTGGCCTATATCCTATGCAGCCAGTACACCGTGCAGCCGCTACTACTAGGATAAAACTTTGAAGTTCAAGATAAAAAGGGCATCAGATTGCATCATCACCAGACATTAAATTTGGCTTAAAGAGTTTGTTTTTGGATGAGCGGTAATGGGGGCATTGGGGAGAAAGATAGAAAAGGGGGGAAGTTTAGTTGTTTGGGAGTTTAAAATCTTTTGAATGGAGGGAAAATTGGGGTAGCCCTTCCCCTTAGAACCCTCACTTTTTGTCTCCCTTAAAATTTTGGGTTGTAGAATCTATAATGAAACTATACATTTCTGACCCTTTCCCTTCCTCTTTGTTCCGTGAGTTAATCATCCAAACAGGAAGAAGAAGCATTCCTTACCATTACATCCCTTTCTGTTTTAATATAATCTAACACTAAATATATACTAATGACTGAAGTGTATAATTATAGGTCAAATTTCACAAAAGAAAGACATCAATAGATCAACAGGGAGTCATCTTACCGGGAATAACAATATCACCAAGTCCAAGCATTGAAAATGGCCTTATCGAATCTGCTGTGGGGAACAGAAGCTGCAAAACAATTTAAATGACAAAATTAAGAATAAATTAATAAGTTTTTTTATCAGATAGTTATCATGGCACTTAGACTACGAACATATACAAAGAGTCGAAGACATATAAACAAATATTTCCATTGCATTTACATTTAGCAAAAAAAAAATTAACCTTAATAGGAGCATCAAATGATTTTGCGACGCTGACCATCACTGGAGTGAAGAAAACCCAGAAAATGTCGTATACAAAAAGACCAGCCTGCAAATTACATGAATTAAAAGAGTCAAAGATCATATTGGAAAATAAAAGACTGGTCTAACAAAAAGCATATGTTTTAACTCGTGGTAAGACCTAACATATTTGCATGGAATAAAATAAAATATAATTCTTGACCAGAGGCATTTTCTGATATTAGATTTGATTGAAAATTTTAAAAGGAAATAGAGAAACCAAAAGAGAAAGAACAAGTAAATCAAGCTCAAGGACTTTGTAATATATCACAACCATGTTTGAATTTTTTAACATGAAAAGATAAAGAGCAGTGCCGAGATTTTTCTGCAACCAAAGGACTTTGTATAGAAAGCAAGATGTCTCAAAAGTCAAAACTAGTAATAAAATGCTATTGAGGGTAATGAAGCTTTGAGTACCATTAAGTTCAATTAAAAAGAAAAACAAATACCTACCAAAAGAATAGCACCGGTCTTGAAAGAGCCTAGAGAAAGCATTTCAATTCCCTGTAAATGTTTAACATGCGTTAATTACAGTTTTAAGTTTACTAATTAAAACTGGTTCACAATTTTATACAAACTCATAGCATTAAGATAGAATGTTTAATTCCCTCAACATATTAAACCTTGTATGGTGCTTTCAATTTTTTTTACCAATTAGATACTATATTTCAGTATAAAATTATTTTCCAGGTACAGAATTTTTATCGTTAATTGGTTGTCATCTATATAGAGGATATTACAGACATGCATATGTATAGGTAAAGTGTCAAACCTGAATACAGAAAGCAAGACCCAATATATTATTTGCCAGCCAATGCTTCTTCAAAGCATACCAGGCGCAAAAAAAAGTGCCAGGGACTGCAGCAAAGAGCTGTGACCTTGTAAACTCAATCTCGATAGCTGTGTAAGAAAGTATAAGGAAAAAATCATTCTGCATGGGTGAAGGAAGTTAATGTCAAGTACATCAAGTGCAAACATTTAAAAGTAGCAAAAAAAAACAACAACAACAACAAACCTAAAACCAACGCATGAAAGCATTAAATATTATCCTGTATTATATTGGGTTAAATTTATTATCCCTTCTCTAGAAAATCACTCAAAATTCATTTAAGAATGAAAGTAGAATCTAATGGTATAATAGCTGTGCAAGGAGCATTGAAAAATATATAATCGCTAACTGGAGTTAATACTTTCATATAGATAACACGATATATGCAATGTAAATTTAGCAAACTCTCAAACTTATTGATGTTCAATTGGTAAACCACAAAACCACTAGTAGCTATCAGAGGTAACATTGTTAAAATAGTCAAAAACTGTCGTGAATGACTAATTAGTTGAAAGATACTAGTAGATAACTTCTGATGTCACAGTTTTCTATTGTATCGGCAACAGAAAAAAAACGACACAGTGTCACATACAGCGGAAATATGGAAAACGCCAGACTATGAGGTTCTCATTCCAATGATTTGGTAGAAAGCGTTTAATAGATGGCAACAATGTGGCGCTGCAGACAGTGGAAGAGAAAATGTGTGTTATAATAGAAAATACGTCAAAAAAAAAAGGTTCTATTGACTAAATAACAAGTGCAAAGAAAAGAACATACGATAGTGCAACAATCCCAAGTACAAAGAAGTAGGCTGTCAACACAGTGTTCACCAAGTCCTTAGATAGAAACTTAAACAGTAAGAAAAGCGATAATAGCATCGCACTCCCAACAAATGGAAAACGCATAGCATGCTCATTTGACATTGTCTCCTGCATAATTCAGATAAATCAGATCTCAAGATTTTAAAAAATGCAATATATAAATAAGTGAATCAGCATTGCCTACTACTTACAGTAGGTGGAGTTGGTTTGACGGATCGGTAACATCCCACAAACACAGTGATACAAGCAGTCAAAACAACATTTAAATTCGGATCTACTTTCACAACAAGGGGTGCTAACGTTAAACCTGCCATGACATATAAAATGCCGTTATTATTAATATCGAGTGCTCAATTTCGGACTAATTCCTACCATCAACATGACTAAACAAGGTAGAAACATAAAAATTCTACAAACCAGTTAAACCGATACAACAATTCCGAATCAAATTTCAAAAACACCTTATCCATTTTCTGTTTTAGCATACAGTTTAACAAAATTACTATTACATTGTAGAATAGTATAATCGATGAATGCACGAAGTTTAGTAATAAACTTAGAGTATAAACTGAAGCAAACCTAACAAAGCCAAATTCGCAATTCGCTCGGTGTTCTTCATTCTTCCTAATGCGATACAAAAACTATAGATCTACTGAAAATAACCGTTCGGAGAATTGCCTCCACTGCGATCAAGAAAAAACGAGAATGTCAGAAATTGAAAATAGGAAAATCGATCGATGAATCAGAAACACATTTCACCGGAAAAAACGGTTATTAAACCTCCGATCGGAAGAGAGAAAATGCAGAGATCGGAGAAGAAGGAAGAGAAAATGATTTTATTAGGGTTTAGAGTTTTACCGAGAGAGTCAAAGGTCAAAGAGGAAGGTAAAGTGAAACCGTTGTTTCGTCCTGGTGTGTTATGAGAAGAGAGAACCGTTTGTGATTACGTGGCGAGGTGTGAAGAAGTGTGTGACGAAAAAGATCGGTTAGTTACTGTGATAGTAAACATGAACAGAACTACGTAACTTTGAGTTCTGTTAACCAATCAAAGACTTGCCATTTGTCACGTAGGATTCGGAGTTTGTACCCAAACCTTTCTCAGCGGAGTGTGTAAGACAGTAAGAGTTGAATTATATGAGTGTACAATATTATTAAATTAATGTAAAATGTTTATTAATAATTTAATCTTTGTGATAATATTTATAAATTAATTAATATTTTTAAAATAATAATATGACATAAAAATATGATAGTCTCTTATTTGATATATATATGAGAAGACATGATAAAGATAACATATTTAATTATTTAAAGAAAATAAATTTTGACATGCATCAAAGAACATAAATATCATTATCACTTTCAAATCATGAAAAAAATATTAGAGATATATATAAATAATAGAAGTTTAATTTTTTTAAAAAGTAAATATAATAATATCATTATTTAAAGCAATATATATTTTGGTATACCTCAAGTAATATAAATATCTTTGTCACTTCCAAAATTGTCTTATTTAAGGTTGAAAAGATTTATTTTTGAATTGAAAACTGTGGATTAATTTTTAGATTATTGAAAAATTGAAGGGAATCTAATCCATCGAATTTAAATTAGGTGTTTGAAATCAAGGAGAATCTTGAGAGTTTTATGTGAAACTGTTTATCTCTGGATTTGGTAAACAACGCCGTTATCTTTAAAATAAGTTTACTGGCGAGATCGACCAGGGAATCTCGGTACACTGCTTCAGTTCGTGTGTATAGTTAAAGTGTTTTCTAAAAGGTTTGTTCGACTGAGAGCAAAACGGCTCGATAAAAGATAAAGTAAATAAGACAAAAAGCGTTTAAATTGTAAAAGGTAATGACATAACATTAAAGAAAGGTTGAAAATAGGTTGGTTCAAACATACATTGCCTTTGTCTGACTCATTTCACTCGTTCGCTTGGTTACTCTGAGTGACTAGTATACATGAATGTGAAAGTTTGACCCTTTACAAAGTGCACTAAGTGCTTTATTTATAATACACAGAAATAACTATTTTTTAAGTAGGCTTCGTTTCCTTGCGTTCCACGTGTTCTTCATAACTTCCCTCCATGATTCCACGTTCATCACTCCTGATATCAAACCCACATTTTCCCTCCATAACACTTTGCCTTTGCAGTTTGGGCGCTTATGGACCTTTTAACCCTTTTGGGCTTCTTACCTCTCGGGCCCAATCCTTCACCATGGACCCTTCTCTGATTGACTGCACTTACGAAACCTTGGCCGATTATCTGTGAGATCATCCATGGTTGACATGCTTATGTAGTTGACTCTTCATAATGTAATGCTCTTAAAAGAACTTTTTTAATTTTTGGTTTGGATTTCTCTCTTTATGAAAATCCTAGCCAACAAATTGCTCCCCAAAATGTCTTTTTCGACTAAAAGAATGGAAACAGACATTTTAATCTTTTTCTCTTAGTGTGAAGTGACGTCATTGTAATCATGATGTTGTTCTTCAAACATTACATCAGCGATCACACAGATACTTCCCTACTTTCTAGCTTCAACTTCCTAGGATAATCGTGGCCTCTAACTTACCAACTTCCTCACCTCAGTTGCCATCTGTTTGACACGTGTCGGTCGTGTAGCCACAATTTTTTCCCACCTTCTTCCCAGATGTTTAGTTTCTTTGGTGGTATAAATACCCATTTCATTCCTTCATTTTTCTCTTTACGCTTTCTTTGCATCCTTAATCTCCTAGCTTTCAAACTCAGCAAAAAACCCCACCTTCATTTTTATTCAAAGCTTCCATTCATCTTCCATGGCGTGTCCAATCCAAGTTGTTGAACACATTAACACTTCTCACGCAGTTGAACTATTTTCCACCATTCTTTATTTCCTTGTTGTTGATGGACAAACTTTTGTGCTTGAGCCAAACTCATCATGCAACATTGCTACTTTTCGTTCTAACTTGTTGCTTCCATTTATCTGCAACAAAACTGCATATGCTCTCATGGTACCTACCCCTGATGAGATTAGGGCACCAAAAGATCTGAAAAAAGTGCTTCCTTGTTCATAGAAGCACAAGGCCCCCCATCGCCCAAAAGTGTCCTTCTCCCACATCTATAGGACCTCAAAAGTTTTTCGCTCCGCTCCTACTATTAACCAAGATTACAATGCATGGTTAAATAAGGTAGAGAAAGTTAAAGGTGATGTCTGGAGATCCCATGGAATTTTTTACTTGATTCAACTTTATAGGGTTGGCCCTAGTTATTGCAACTATATGATGATTTATGCCCTCTACTTCTGGGAGAGTTCCACAAACACTTTCCATTTCACGACTGGGATGCTGCCTCCCAATATGTTTGATGTTACGATTATCACTAGCCTTCTCCCTATAGGTGAAAATTTCATCCCTACTGAAGTTGATGAAGACGTTATTCCTTTTGATAAGGACGTTGTTGGATTCACCAAGCATATGGAGCGTTTTCACGCTAAGGATGTCATCACGGTGTCTGATGAAGAGCACGTCGCCTTTTTGGCCTTGTGGCTCTCTAAGTATATTTTCTGCAGTAGATCTCTGAAGGTGGCCAAACGTTTTATTGCATTGGTGCATCACCTTCACATTGGTCGAAACACTTTCTTGAGCAAACTCATCCTGGGGTCGCTTTATGAATCGCTCAGTGTGGGGGTCGACCAGATGACTTCTCTTGCATCGAATGTCAGCTATCTACTTGCTGGGCCGTTTTGGCTGTTGCAATTGTGGCTAAGTGCCACCTTTTGGAATCAGCTTAAATTGAAACTTTCAGAGGCACATGAGACATTCTTTTCCAATCGTGCCATTGAAGGTCCTTGTCTTGCTGCAATGACGTTGTCCAACAACAACCTGAATCGAGAGGAGGTGTTTGAAATGTACTTGAAGTTTTTCTTCAGATGTACCTCTTTTCACCCCAGTATGGCGCCATTTGCTTCAAGACCATGTGGTCCTGAATGGTTTACTCTACCATTTCCTCATGTTGAGCCTACGCAGGTCCCTGAATCCACAACCATTTGACAAGCTTTTCTAACCCTAGGCTTATAGAATCTAGGGTGGACGCTAATGATGGGGTAACACTTCTGTGTTACCAACCCAATCTGGTGGCTATGCAATTTGGTTTGTGCCAACCTTTGCCTCACAGATTTTATAAGCCATCAGATGAAATATGTCTTTCATCCCAAAGCTACAACGAAGCAGAGTGCGCTCAATGCCTCCAACACTTTGCTGTTGACGCCCCCAATCTAAACCTCATCTCCTTAGAACCCATTTTATATACAACGAATGAGTTTTTTGATTGGTGGACCGTGAGGTTCGTAAAGAAAAATGGGAACCTCAAATCTTTCAAGCATCGATTCGCCATTGCTTTCGAAGCTATGAATCAGCAATTTAAGAAAGGTATGACTTACTACTGTGACTGTCGATCACTTTATTTGCTTTCTCGCTTCTTCATGTTTCAACCTTTAAACTTTGTCTGGTGCTTTTGTTTTATTCAGCAGTTGAGCATAAGAAGCATGCTAGGGAGGCTATTAGTAGTGTTGTTGTTTCTGCTTCTGCTGAAAAATCTCATGCAATTTCCTATGAGGTAATTTGTTAATTTTGGTGTTTTCTTAACTGACCACATCCCATGTCTAACATGTTGATTATGTCGACCCATTTGCAGGCTGCTGAAGCCAACATTGTTGTCCCTTCTGAACCCTCTCCAAAGAGGCGAAAACACTCTTCCCATGAAGAGAAGTAAGTGGACGACACACCTTCTCCTGTTATCCCCGTAAAATCCAAAAATTCTCGGTCGACTCGATCTGAGGCTATTCCAAAACAAATTACTTTTACCATTGTTCCTGCTCCACTGGTCGCAAAAATACGAGTCGCGCAACCAGCTTCGACTCGCCCAGAGAGCACCGATTCCAGCCTTGAAGGGGACTCTCAGGTGTCCTTTCTTTTCCCAAAACTCCTTTTTTCTTCAAGCTTACTTTCTCCTTTTTATTTTGTTCTTACTTGTCTCTATTGTTTCAGCGACCAGTCGCTAAATCCAAAGAGCGCCCCACCAAACTTATCTTAAGGACTTCAAAGGGAAAAAAGAAAACGACTGTGATTTTGTTAGATAGTGAATCTACTGATAGTGATCTCAATTCTCATGTCGATCAGGGAGCCCTTAAGTATTCTCCCATCAGTGATGGAGTGGAAAATAACACCCACAAAGACAGCTTAGAAGGAGATGCTAGAAATGATGAAATGGAGAGTCTTGAATATGCTGCTGACATTGATGAGACTATCAACCAATAACCTTCTCAAACAGCTGAAGAGCCTCCTCAAATAAATGCTCCCTTTTGCACTATTTCAACTCCTCTTAATGTGGCTCCTGCCACTACTACCGTGTCATCTCAAGCAATTTCTGCTTTAAAGCAAAGAAGCCCTTTTGAATACTTGAAGTTTTTTGTGGTAGCTAGAAATCGCTTGACTGATGGGGGCTCTAGCACTTCAATTGTCTCTGGGGGCGTTTCTTCTCTTGAAACCCAAGGCGAAATTCCCAGTCGCCTGAAAACGCAACTCTTTCATGTCGATCTGATCACCCATTTGGAGGTGTTTCCTGCTGATGGCGCTAAG